ACGAGTCAGGGCTCAAAGGCAGCTCTACAGCTTTCACAGGAGTCATGAAAATGCAGGCTTCCCACTGGCTAATGTGCCCTTGTCCGAGGCCCAGGCCCAGCTGCCTTCCCCCAGGCAGTTCTCTCTCACGGACAGAGGCGCTGTGCGGGGACTCTGGACTGGCCCAGCACACGTTAGCTGGGATCCACCCCCCAGGCCTGGGTTTCACTCCCCAGAAAGACCTTCCATTGGGCACCAGGAAGTGTCTACGGTGCCTTAAATGTGAGGGTGTGGAGGGGTGGGGCTTGAGTTTTCCAAGGGGAAATCAGAGAAAACACTCCCATCTTTGTCACAGGGATCCCTGCCCCACAGTGGCCTGGGAGCTCTGGAGCTCGCAATAACCTTCACTGCAAACGCCTGCCCCACACAAATCAGAAATAGGTATTTTAATCAAGACTGAAGGGAATCAGGGAGCAAGGCCCCCGGTAGGGAGAACAGATGCACAAAACCTGTGGAGAAGGGAACACAAGTATAAAACAATGAAAGTGAGAGAGGGTCTGGCATATTATAAAAACACCAAGAAAGCCTGTGTGTTGTTTGGTGTGTTGGGAGTAAAGTTGAATGAAGGAAATAACAGTGGGAAATAGAGGTCAGGGAGGTAAAGGATTTGTGCATTAGGCAGATGGCAGAGCTTTGTAGGATAAGAGGATTAGGGTTTTTACTCTGAGCAAGATGAGAAGCTACTGGAATGTTTGGAAGAGTGACATGATCTGATTTAGACTTGAAAGATACTCTTCAAACAGTTCAGAAGGGACTGCAGAGAGAGAGACCCATTCAGAGAGTGCTGCAAAATCCAGTAAGAAATGGTAGTAGTGTGGACCAGAATAGTAGTAATAAGGCTTTTGAAAGTAGCTAGATTCTGGAGACATGTTTGAGATAGTGCAACAGGCTCTTCTGGTGGCCTAGATAGGGGTGTGAGAGGAAGAGAGGAATTAAGGATGAAACCAAAGTTCTGGGCCTCAGCATCTGGAAGAATGAAGTTCTTTTACTCCTTCACCAACATAGTGTATTATCAAATATTACTTTTTGCTAGTTTTAGTTCATGATGTTACCAAGAACCTAGTTTTATTTTTCTGGAAAGTATGTCTATTCTGTTATTCCCAGACTTATCTCTCCAAGATTGTGAGGTGGCTATGGCGATTCCAAGCATCATATCCATAAGATTACATCAAGAAGGAAGAAAAGAAGCCTTGTCTCTTCATCTTTCATTTTGCAACACTATTTTATTTTTCCAGTGGTCCCCCCCCCCATTTTTAGACAGGATCTTGCTAAGTTCCCCCAACTGGGCTCAAACTCAAGAATTTTCTTTTACTGTATTGATTTGTACTTCATTTAAAGAAGAAAACCTTTCCCATGTAGAGCTTCCTCTCTACACCCCTCCCCAGCTTTAGTATCATTAGCTAAAATTCTCCCATATGCTCATATTTAAACTAATCTTTAGTGAGGGAACAGATCTGTCGCAGCCAGCGACGCAGAGCACTGTCCAGCAGTGCCTCAAACCTGAAAGAGCAGCAGGGTGGAGATGGGGCAGAGAGAAAAGAAGGACGCCAAGACAAGAGTCTGATCAAGGCAACGTTTATTGCCGGCAAGCGTCAGCCTTTTAAAGCAAAAAAACCCCACAAACTATTATGGGATGGGGTTACCATAGTAAATGAAAGTTCACACAGGAAAAGAGCAAACAGGCTCAACAAAAACAACCCACCGTGGGTAGTAGTAACCCGGACAACCACACATCTAAAGGTCAGAGACAAGAAACTGTAACTTTCAGGAATTCCACAAAGGAAACACACCACCTGCTAAACTGGAGAAACTTAACACATATGGAGTTACTAAAGTTTACAATACTTACAACCAATACTCATGATCCCCACACAGATCCATCATCTTATACCAATTATAGCTTACTCCATCGGGCTAGTGTTGGAGCCCAGCACTCTTCAAACACACAAACAGGAATGTGATTACTTTACAAGTTAACAAGGTAGGAGACAGAGTATTGGTCTTTGGGGCAGGCAGGCAACAAAATCTATCACACCAAGCTAATAGATTTGAATTACATCCTGTTGGGATAAGGAACCACCAAAGAATTTTAAGTCCATAAGTAGCAAGATTAGACTTCACAGTAATGTCAGAATGGGGGACCCTCAGGAGGGACACCAGTCTGCAGGTGGGGCCATCAGCTGGAGGGCTTTATTCTAAGATATTTTAAGATTTTAAGCACTTAAACCAAGAACACCTTGGTTTAACATCCAACTGGATGGAAATGGGGAAAGAAAATAGAGGGAAGAGATTCTAGAATCACTGTCACACACGTTTCTGCGTGGGTGAATCACAAGGAACATAGACGAAGATGGGATCAAAGATGATCAAAGATGCGACCATAGAGGAAGGAAGCTTGAGTGAACATGATAAGAGTGAAAAGCTAATAAGTTTGGTTTAGAAAAATGATGTGCCTTAAAGATACATGAAGAGAGAAGAGTAACTGTGGAAGCGTGAAGACAACATTACTAACTCCTTTGGAGGTTAGAGCTGGGTGGAGCACGCAAGGAAGAAGAATAGATAAGTGGAAAGGAAACAACAAAAAGCAAGGCAAGAAACCGACATCTCGTATGAGATGGGTTTGGCTGATTTAGCTCGGGGTTGAGCATCAAGGGCATCTCGAGAAATTTTGAATGTAATTGTAGACAAGCTTTTAAAGAGAAGTTAAAAACCTCTTTTGAAATATGGGTTTCTATAATTTGTTTCAACATGTTGTTGAGTTAGCAAATGAATAGAGATGGTATCAACCCTTTTTTTATTTGGCCTGCTGACTGGAAGCCTCAGAACTCAACCCTGTGAACTGTTAACCAGATAAACATTGTAGGTTTTTGTAAAGTATTATGCTTAACAAAGGCCTCAGGGTATGTGGATTTATTAAGGGAAGTACTGTCCAAACCAAACAGTCAAAGTTTTGGAAGGAAAGTATAACAAGAGTCTTGAGATTAAATGTAGAGTTTTTTAAATGTTTTATGACAGTTATTTCTACCTTCTTCTTTTAGAAAATGTTTCATTATACTTTTGAATATATGTAAGATTAGACTTAAAACTCAAGAAGATAACGTCAATACATTTCAAAAATTATTTCATAACGTATACTGAGTTCTTTCCATGCTGACCTTATTTCAGGCGCTGAGTTGGACTCTAGAATGAATAAAGACACCTCATATTTGTACAATTTTGTGGTTAATCCCACTTTTATGCAACTATTTTACTTGTGATTTCTGAGGCCCAGATAAAATTTAATCCTCGAAGCAACCCTGGGATTGAGGGAAAGAAAAGAAATCTGAGAAATAAGAACTGAAGGAGAAAGAACATGTTATAAAGCTAACCAGGTTAATAAAGTGTGGAGGGGAAGATAATTATGAGACTGAATATATTAATTGGACAATACCAGACAATGAGAATTCTACTTACAACCTCTGCAGCAATCACCCCAGAATGATCAGCATGTATCAATGACTGTCAGCTGCCCTATGTTTGTATATCCCCCCTCAAATCAGAACTAGAGACAACATATGCTCTCCAAAACCAGTCACATGAAATGCCCTGCATTTGTTTTGTTTTGAGGTAGGGTCTCATTATGCAGCTCAGGTTGGCCTTGAACTCATGTCAGTGCTCCTGCCTCAGCCTCCGGAGTGCTGGGATTGCAGGCATATGCCACCATGCCTGGTGACCCTGGCTTCTACTTAACCAGACTCCAGCTTCCCCATGTTAATATGGGGGGTAAGTGTAAGTGAGCCTTCTTCCCTTTTTCATTACATATTAGACGTTCTCACCCTTCTGACAGCATTTAACTCTGTGCTAATGCAAGTAAGTCACTGTCCCCAGTTATATCCAGCTTTCAATAAAATAGCCTCTCTGTCCTCATATGGGTGGTCTTTGCTTTTCCCCACATTCATTTATCATACAGTAGTCAAGTTTTATGTGCCAGCCAGTGGCCAGTGGGAGCAGGTGAAAATCCTCAGCCTATTCAAAGTGGTACGTGAAACAGTAGGTATGTATTAAGGAGGTGTAGGTTGGGTAAAGCTTTCAGAGTAAGACGACCCTTAGGCCAAATGCTAAGGGATGAGCAAGAGTTGGTCAAGAGGCAAAGAAGGTTATGCAAGGCAGGTGGCAGGGCCGAATGAGCAAAACACAAGAGGCCAGAAACACGAAGGCTGCATTGCTGGGAGGAGAAGTGCTGCAGAAAATGCAGTAGCAGCTGGTCGTGGACAATGATGGATGTGGCTGGTTAGGAAAAACTTAGGTTTTATGACGTACAAAGGCTCCTTCCTGGACTTCAGATTCAGGGCTGATACAAGCAAAGAGAATGAAAACGTAAAGGGGCTGCAACCTTTGTAAGGATTACTGCAAGGTCCAACAGAGCACTGACACAAAAGCTCACGTTTGTCACACAGTCAATAAACGCAGAATGAGTGGAGTTAGGCACTTTGCTGTAGATATCATGGTCTCTAGTTTACGCTTTTCAAATGGGATAAGATAATAAAATCCGGACATCAGTTTGGGAGGTGACAGGGAAGGTTTAAAAGGGGAGAGAACTACCACTCCGGCGGGAAAGACTGGTGGTCATGAAATCTCCAAAAGATTGCGGGCAAAGGATGCACTTCTATCACGAATATTTCGATACCCACTGACTGGAGTCTCTCCATTCTGCAGGCAGTCACGGAGAAAGCTACCCGCTGAGAATTTGCCCCACCTGGACAGCACCAGGTCCAGAGTCTGGGACCCTCTTACCAAGTGTACCAAATCTCCCGCCCCTCCAGGCGGAGCCTCGGCACATGCCCTTTCCGATTGGAAGTCCCAGGGCGGGCATTAGAGGCCAACGCTCTAGGGGATTGGTTAGATCGGAGCTCCGCCGGCGTGAGGGGCGGGCCCTCTAGAGGGCCCCCTGTCAGTCATTGGCTCCTTGCCGTTTCCTTGGGGACGTGGCGCAGCCGCAAGCCCGGCCTTTCTTCCGGCTGAGCTGGAGGCAGTGTGTACAGCTCTGGAACCAGCCAAGCGGGACTGAGGGACCGGCAGCCGCTCAATCCTGTGAGTGGGCGCGCGGGAGAGCCCGGGGCTGGGGGAGACTGGGAGCGGAAGTGGGGACCCGACCACCTGGGGACAGCGGGTTCCCCCGAGGATGCAGCTGGCCTATGGGAAAGAGCCTCTCGCAGGATGCTGGGAAGGGTCTGCTGGGCCTGAAGACCAGAGCGGATGGACACCGAGAGGAGTGTGGAGCGTGGGTGGGAGTTATGGCAGACTCTTGGAGGTCAGGTCTCGAGGTTGCTGTGGGAGGGAATCCTGAAACACAGCCAACTCTTTCCAGGTGGTAGATTTAGGAGATGCCTGGGACAAGGAGGCCAGCTTCTCCGGGCAAAAGGAAAAGGAGGTGACAAACGTTGAGACCACTGAAGGGAACCCATGGCTAGGTAAGACTGTGCATGCATCTTTGCAGGAGGCTCACAGGAGGATGGCAGGCAGGCTTGGGGGGCCTTGGGGGGCTGTTACAAGTGAGGTTTGCCCTGGGGCTGCACCTCGACTTTGCATCCTGGTCGAGTGTGTGCAAAGATGGTCAAAGTTGTTCTTTTGAATGGAGGTTCAGTAATAGTTTGCAGCCCATAACCCCGGGGCCGAGGAGAGAATGGGCTTGCTCAAGTCTGAAAATTGTTGGTTGTAATTTTTTTTTTCAAATTTCCTACTGAGTGAAGCTAGGTACCCTTTGAGGAGGGTTAAAGAGGTGTCTTTTTTCTTTGAAAGTAGATAGGCAAGAGGTCCTCTTAAATCAATGTAGAAAGCAAACTTCAGACTTGAATACACTTATCCATACATTATAATATTCTGAAGCTTTTAAAAAAGCATTAGTGTGGATCTATGTGTCCCATTATGGGACAGGTGGAAAATAGAATAAGTCGGGGGAAAGACACAGAACAATAGATACAGTATATTTGTATAAAACCAAGAGAATGGAGATACAGAGTTACATTACCATATATATTGCTATGTATTTATGCCTGTATACTCACAGAATATTCCTGGAAGAATACATAGAAACTGGTAGCAGTGATTGACTCTAAGAGGTGGTGGGGTTAGGGCAAAAGATTTACTTTTCACTGTATTCTTTTAAGTTGGTTTTTGTTTTTATCATATGCATATGTGACTATTAAAACATTTAATAACTCGATTAAATAACTTTTCTGACTATCCAGTTACTTAACAGCATGCTTAGTAAGAATGTTGTAGTTGATCTGGTCCTCAGGCCTTATGAAGATGCTCCAGGAGATAGTGATCTTTTCATTAGCATAAAATTCTTTGAGTTTTACTCAAAAGTACAGTGTTTGAAAAAAGAACTGATATCTTTTTGTAAAGATTGAGACTAAAGAACATTTAGACTTCTGTTGGCAGTGGATTTGTGCCTCTGTTAGAGTTTCAGTCCAATTTAAAATTGATATTTAAGCGCTCAGCTTCAGACTTCACTAATTTTTGTCTCTTTTCAGGATCAGTTTTTCTTACCTCTGCCCAGCCTCCTGGTACTTCACTGTTCCCACAGTGAGCCCATTTCTCCGTCAGCGGGTGGCATTCCTGGGAGTGTTCTTCATATCCTGTCTCCTTTTGCTTATGTTAATCATGGACTTTGGACATTGGGGTGCTTCGTTACCAAGCGATAGGCTATATGAAAGGTGAGTCAGCTTCAGTTCATGTTGATCAGTTTTGGCACTGAAGTCATAAATATTTTGATAAGCTGTTTGCCGCACTATTACCTTTGACCCTTTTGGGAGATATTATACTTTTGTTAGTAAAGTTGAATTCTGTTCACTACATAAAGAATATCTTAAACCCATTTTGAGTACTTTTTTTGCTTTGTTTTTTTTGAGGGTCTCACTATAATTGAATTGAGGCTGTCCTTTGAAGTCACTGTGTAGCCCAGGCTGGCTTTGAACTCACCACAATCCTGGCTCAGCCTCCCAAGTGCTGGGATTACAGGCACGCGCCACCACACCCAGCTTTTGAGTACATTTTTTGTATTCCATTTTGGCTTATTAGTTTTAGTATTTTTTGTAAGTGGCTGTTTTAGAGTTTGTAGTATTCATCTTTAATTTATTGCAGTCTAACTCTTCATGGATAATATAAGAACCTAAACAGCAGCTGGTTATGATGACACATGCCTATAATCCTGGCACTGTGGGAGGCTGAGGCAGAAGGATTGCAAGTTTGAGCCTTGTTGTCACTTTCTACATGATCCATAATTATTGTTTAGCAGTAAACATTTGCTGAGAGCTTATTGTACCTGTTGCTGTGCAAAACACGGGGTACAAAGTGGAATAAGATGAGCTCTTGGATTCTTGGAGATATATATATATA